TAAACTACCTAAACCCATTATCAGAACGTTGGTCGAACCTTGGCTAACAGTATATTTTTAGGCTTTTATAATCGCGGAATTTGGTAACGTAACGCCAGTAACGTTCGCCAGATGCCTCCGCGGATTTTTAACAAAAAAACAGGAAAAGTTTTTACATTTAATAAGTTTGAAAATTAACTCTCAATACTTCATTTATTAGCACAAAAAATGTTATTCAGATAGCCCTATCCAATTCGCAGAGTTTTGCCATTTTGTACCCCAACCTCGAAAACCACTTCTGTTTTATGTAACGCACTTTTAGGTCATACTTTGGCTTATATCTTTAAAACCGTACGCTCGATTATTGCCATTTTTCTGGTGAATATAGGTCTAACCAAATTATATTCAACGAGGATAATCTTTTTTCCAAATTTCAGTTTTTTGACTATTTTTTTCAACATTTTGTCATACGAATGTAACGTAACGCCAGATAGGAACTGCCCATATTCCATCACAGAATTTTAGGTTAAACCCCAAACCTGATATTTAAAATATAAATCCACGTTTTTAATCAGCGTCTTCTCCTTTCAATCGTCAATCTAATAATAATTGTTCGCTGGTCTACAACAAGTATTGATATATCATATACAAAAGAGTTTTTTTTACAATACTATCGACAAATGACTCATTATCTTACAAAAGTTAAAAGGTTTATTTTTATACCCGTACTTAAAAAGAGTTAAGGGGTATATTCGATTTGTGGTAAAAGTGGATGTGTGTAACGCAAAGAAGGAAACGTTTCCGACTCCATAAAGTATATATATTCTTGATCAGCATCAATAGCCGAGTCCATATAGCCATATCTGTCTGTCCGTTTTGTTGAGCGCCTAGATCTCAGAGACTTAAGAGCTAGAGCAACAAAATTTTGTTTCCCGACTCATGTGATATATGTATGTGATGTGATATTGTAGCAGTGTGACTTCAAGTTTATTTCAAAATTTCGCCCCGCCCCCACAAAGGACGAAAATCTGTGGCAGCCACAATTTTAAGGATACGATAAAACTAACGCAGTATCGTAAAGACTGACCGTTTCTACCGGATTGCCGCATCTGAATCAGATCGGATCATAATTTGTCATATATATGTATATATAGCCAGAATGAAGAAATTCATTTTCAGTTGCTTCCCCCGCCTCCGCCAGCAGAGACCGCGCTACTCACTCTCTTTCTCGCTCGCACACTCTGCCTCGTTATGTACGCGAGCGCCCTGTAGCGGAGGAGATGTTGAATCTAAATGGTACATTTAGAATCTTCATGTTAGATGTAGAATATACATTGTAGATGTAGATAACAGATGTAGCAAAAAATTGTAAAATGTAAAATTTTTTTTTAATTCTAAAATTCTAAAAAATCATAAGCTCAAAAATGTCTGAATACGGTTCCCCAGAAGCGACTCACACGTTCCTTCTCGTTTTAACCTATGTATACTCAAAAACAAAACAAAAAGTCAATAGATCGCGAGTTATGCAAAATTTACGCGCAAAAACAATTTGTCGGTAGGATATGGTTCTTGTTTAAGGGAATTTAAAAATTTCAATTTTGTCGTATTTGGAAAGTTTAAAATTATCTGCTTTTTTTTAATTTTTATTACAGTCTTCTGCATTAAACATATGGGCATTTCTCTGAAGTCGAAAGGGACAGTCGCAACGCATTGCATGTGATAGAAAGGTCAAAATAAGATGGATTTTAAAAATTTGTTTACCTTTATTATACACCTCTTGACTGACCCTATAAGTGGTGCTATGATCGATTCTGGGCAACTATTCGTTTTCAAGATTTTGTAAAGAAAAACCGATCCATTCGTACGGGACATACATATATGGAAGTGGTTTTCGCGGCAATCAATTTAAACTCAGATTTCAGCGAAAGTTGAGGCACTATGATCATGCAAATTTCTGTACAAGTTTTGCATTGATGTCTCTTAAAATGGTTATAATTATACGCAAATATGATTCATTTTTTTTTTTTTATTTAATTAAGACCATATTGCACGGGACAAAAATTTCTAGGTTAATAACATCTAAAAATATACCATTAGCCGGGACTAAAGCATTTTTCTCGTATTGTTTTAAAAAAGTCCAATACGTTAGAAAGATTATCGGGAAAAACTTTTCCCAAGAATGCACTTTTTTATATGAGATAATAGTAATAGAAAATATGGCTAAATTGCTAAATTTGTTTATTTGAGTAGGCTTTCACATCAAAGTTATAAGTTTTCGTTCATTAAATTTAGACTATAATATCGCAACATAATTATATGAAAATGTGTTTTTATAGACATTACATTTTTTGGTCTCGGTGGACCTCGTCAGAGAAATGCCCATATGAAAATAATTTTTCCATAGCTTGGCCAAAAGCGAATATTTTGACCTTGATGCGCAAGGTCAAACTGGTTAACGTTTGACCAAGCCGACTTAAGTTTCAAACATTTTGGACTTTCGTCCCACTCTAGTGTACAATAATTTACAACATTCCACATTTTTTTATTAGGCTCACAGCTTCTACACTAATTTCTTTCGTTATCAGCACGGAAACTGTGTATTGCACGTGGGGGTAGTTACGTACATATAGCCTGGAGTCATTACCAAACATATTTGGTTTTGTTTTGTCGCTCCATAATATATTATTTCACTTTTAAGACCCATCTGGCCCAGAGCATGCAAAATTTGTTTCGCCTAATTGTTGCCTCATCTTCAAAATTTTTCTCCTAGTAAGGAACTTTTCGGGCTATACATCCTGGTAAGTCTGACGTCTACTAGGAACGGTCTGAGATGATATTTCATTGCAAATTCGAGCGGAAATTGATAATTTTTTCCAATACTAACGATGGGGGTGTCCGTTGTTTGTGAAGATTTCTTCTTCCGTCTTCGATTTTCAGTAAGAAATTATAAATTTACGGCATTCTGATCCAAATATACCGAGCGTCCAAGACTTTTCGCAATTTCGCGAAGACTTTTTTTTTTTTAATTAAGGCAATCTTCATTTCTTCAGCAGAACAATGCTTTTTTGGCCCATATAAGGAAATATTTTTTTCTCTTATGTACTTTAAATTGCAAGGAGTCAATAAAAACCAACAATCCTTTAAGCAAATCCTAATTAAATCCTTAAAAATTTATAAATACCTCCAGTGTACTTATTATTTTAACCACACTAAAAATGGCCATCCAGCACAAATTTAAGCTTAGAATTAAATTAAGGGTGCTCCCAACTTTCATTTTTGATTTAAATGTTTGGCAAAACTGTAATCTTTAAAAATATAAACAATTGACAGTCATACATTCAAAAACATTCGAGATATTTCATAACAAATCAGCATGATGCCTCTGTACTTATTATTTTGACCAGTAGTGTACATATGTACGTAAAAACCGCTTTGCAGGCTGTGAAGTCGCGGTCCATCGAGGGTATTTTTTCGCGATTTTAACAGAATAGGCCTATTGATCGAACAATTACCAAAACATTAATATAAATAATAATAATCACTATTTTTTCAGCTCCTATTTTATCAGAAATTTTAAATAAAAAGTTTCCTTAAGGAAATATAAATCGAGGGAAAAAGAGAATGGTTCGAAAATTGAACATATACCAAAAAATTTGTCTAAATTGTTAAAAAGATAATATATTGACTTCGATGACCGAGAGTCAAACGTTATTTTTGCCCTCGATTTCTATTCCCTTAATGCAACATTCTATCAATGGGCTGATTGAAGTTTTTAAAAATTTGGTACTTTCGGCCCACCCATTGGTTACTCAACGATGTCAAAGTTATGATCTTGGAACCATGCATTGACCTGACGTCCCCATGAAACAGTTGCCGTTTCCAACAAATTCCAGCTAAGTCAAACTATTATGCCATTAATTTGATGTATCCAATATATATATATGTACCTTGACAAACTCCAGCTCCCTACCATTGTGCTGCAACCTACGTACCCCACGGATATTTATACCCAGTACTCTAATTTTACAGCGGTATACAAAAAACGTGTAGAAGTAACAGCCAAAACTAATTTAAATTACATATTGTATTTTTTTTAACAGCATCCATAGGTATTCCGATGTAACTTTGTTTGCCGCCCAGTTCTCAGAGATTATTCGAGCTAGTGTAATCGTATTTTGTGTCGAAAATCTTTGACAACTCAATTCATTTAATCATATAAAACGCGAATAATCATTTAAATGGAAGTTTTGACTTAGAAAATTTGTATAAGCCCTGGAAAGTGCTCTGTCAAATATTCAAAGCGCTCGCTCACTTAGAAAGTCACATTTGCCACCTCTTTTCGACTGAGTCACCGCTGTGCGACGGTTAAATTTCAAGAGGTGGAAGGCATAGCTGGTATCTGTACTATATGGATGGATGGAAAGCCTTAATTAGTTCTAACATCCACCATCAATTGAGCGTAGATATTAAGATTATAAAAGCTAGTGCAACCAGATTTTTTGTGACATCACAGTTATAAAAAATATGTTTTTGCACTTATGCAAAGACTAATGCAGACATAAACGTTCGTCCAAACTAACATGGTAGTATAACTTCATCGTAGATGTTGCAACTAAAAGATAGAGCTTCTGCGATCTACATAAATTTGTGCATTCTAGCAGACATTTAATCCTGATTGTGCCTGAATCAGGCAGGCTCCGGTTTTTACTTACTTTTGAGTTTTACTTTTTCAGCCAAAAGTCATACTTTTAGTTTTGACGCGTTTTGGTATCCGCAGAAGTGTGTTCACGCATAAGTGTGTCCTGTACTGTTAAGATACCCACTAAGTAGTGCCAATTCCCTATTTGATGTTGCACAGACCAATTCTTTCAGGAATTTTTTTGTTTTGCGAGCGCGGGAGCGCCTTACTTTTCGTTTTAAAAAATAAATTGGAAATTTTTTGTGAATGTGAAAACCGGAGACTGCCTGATAATGTGGAATATAAAAGCGAAACTTTATATGCTGTTGAAAAGTTTACTTACCGGTGACTTATAGTTCGCCTCTGGTTTTTCATACACAGCTCGAAACTTTTATTCCGCTTTTGTGGAATTGGAGGTGCGCTTTTTTTCGCAGGTTTTTCTAAAAGAATAATAACACATTAAAAGGTAAAAGACAGATCGTTCATAACCGAACTGAAGACAGAACTAACACAGTTCTGTTTCATCAAAGCTAACCTATAACACTACTCGACAAAATTAAACTTTTTTTTTCCTCAAGGATCCAAACCTACTTTTTCTGATAGATATGAGGATTTAAAATTTTTCAAAGAATTATGGTTTTTTTTTTCTATGGCAGAACTTTTTTTTGAAGAATTTTTGAAGTCTGGTATTTTTTTTAAAGTTTTTTTCAGAGGTAGCGCTTGTATTTTTCACATAACTTAAAACAGCTAGAAGATAAGCCCAACCACTTTGTGATTACAGCTTATCGTCTGGGAAATATAAAGCATTGAAATGCAAAAATTATGATTTTTGTGCGGTATTTTTTTGTGTTAGGTGCGTTAATTTGGCGTCGTTTAAGGTATCGCTAATTAAAATCTATGGAGAGACTTTGGAGCTAAAATTCGTTAACCAAACCTAAAATATGGAAAAAATGAACAAAAAATACATTTTTGAAGGCGGCGGGCCCAACTGCCAATTGGGAACAAAGCAAATGAACAAGGGTTGTACATTTGGTACCTGATCGCGTTCCTTTGCTCCCAATTGGCAGTTGGGCCCACAACCTTCCAACAGGTATTTTTGTTCATTTTTTAAGTTTGGTTAACGAATTTTAGCTCCAAAGTTTCTGGAGCAACTGAAAATTAATTTCTTCGTTCTGGCTATAATTATGATCCGATCTGATTCAGATTCGGCAATCTGGTAGATATGGGCATTCTCTACGATACTGCGTTTTTAGTTTATCTTTAGATTATCTTTGTATCTTTAAAATTGTGCATACCACAGATTTTCGTCCTTTGTGTGGGCGGAAGGGACGGGGTGAAATTTTGAAATACACTTGTAGCAGTGTGATATCACATGAGTGTGGAAACCAAATAGCAAAGTTCTTTACAACCAGACGTAAGATACTAGAGCTATGTGAAAAAAACAAGCGCTACCTCTGAAAAAAGCTTAAAAAAAATACCAAATTTCAAAATTCTTCAAAAAAAAGTTCTGCCATAAAAAAAAAAAATATCATCAAACCATTTCTAAGCCCCAAATCTTTAAGAAAAAGTTGGTTTTGTCCCTTGAGGAAAAATCGTGTCGGGTAGTGTAATTAGACACAAATACTACAAATCATAATTTGTATGACCTAGAGCAGCGATGCCCAAAGTCAGCTTACGGCAGGGAACTCACCAAAACTCACAAACAAAAACACAAATACCAATAAGGGAACAGTGCAAATTCGAAGAAAAGATAACAACAAAATCATAAGAAAAGTCGGGTTAACACCAATCAGAGAAGAGACAAACCCGGTTTTTGCTGGACGGATCGCATACACACAAAGATGTTTGCATGTGTTGGGCTTTCGGTATGCTGGCACACTGCACAAACTGTGTATGCATACAAGAATTGGTTTCCTATGCTGAAGGCAATTACAAAAACAAAAGGGCTCAGAGGGCAATGGGCCTGGGCATCGCTGACCTTTTATTCCTTTCCAATACCGCCCTGCAAAATTGAATAAAAAATTATACGTATGGATGGATTCCGCAGCTGCACTTGGTGTATTTTTACTTGAAAAATCTTTTTATACCCGTACTCAAAAAGAGTTAAGGGGTATATTAGATTTGTGGTAAAAGTGGATGTGTGTAACGCAGAGAAGGAAACGTTTCCGACCCCATAAAGTATATATATTCTTGATCAGCATCAATAGCCGAGTCGATAGAGCCATGTCTGTCTGTCCGTCTTGTTTGACGCCTGGATCTCAGAGACTAAAAGAGCTAGGGCAACCAAATTTGGTTCCCAGACTCATGTGATATCATACTGCTGCAAGTGTATTTCAAAATTTCGCCCCGCCCCCACAAAGGACGAAAATCTGTGGCAAGCACATTTTTAAAGATGCGATGAAACTAAACGCAGTATTGTAGAGAATGACCATATCTACCAGATTGCCGAAGATCGGATCATAATTATAGCCAGAATGAAGAAATTAATTTTCAGTTGCTTCCCCTGCCCCCTCCTGCCAACGACCCATCAACTCATTTTCCTTCTCGCTCGCACACTCTGCCGCGTTCAGTGCGCGAGCAACCTCTAGAGGAGGAGATGTAGAATCTAATTGGAACATGTACAATCTACATGTTAGATGTAGAATATACATTGTATATGTAGATGTAGATAGCAGATGTAGCAAAAAGATGTACTTTTTTTCTAAAATTTTAAAAAATCATAATCTCAAAAATGTATATACTGACTGAGTACGGGTATAAGTAGAGTCGCGTCCCCAGAAGCGACTCACACGTTCCTTCTCGTTTTATCTTCGATTTCAAAGAAAATTAAGATTAGGTCAGTCTTATTTCTAATGATCTACACATATGATCATAATAGGTACACGTTGAAAATTTTCAATTAAATCAGATTTATCGTACTTTATGAGTTGACAAAAAATTTGTTGTTGGTATTTTTTGTTTGTCAATATGTGGCAACTTCTTGACAAAAAAAATTAAATAGGTGAACCCCCTGATAACAGAGCTTTTATCGAGAATGTGAGTTGACCACACATTTTGGATGATCAATATAATAGGTACAGTATTAGTAATTCTTCAATTCTTCAAGTAAATAATTTAGAAATTCTTGCTTGTTTTGCCGTTTAGGTTAAATTTCATCTACTTAAGTCAAAACAAAAACAAATCATTTTTTGTTCCTTACAAGAATGGATCGAAATTCTCATTGTAAAGAGGAGGAAGCCCGATTGGCTCTTAGTTTGAGAAAAGAAGAAGAAATCTCTTCGGGCTATTGAAAAATTAATGAAAAGATCTCATAATTTTGTTAAAAATACATTAAAAAGGAAACCTAGTCAGGAAACTCGCGGAAGACCACAGAAATCAAGAAATACACTTGACCACTACATTATATCTCTGAGCAAAAACGACCCATTTAAGTCGTCAAAGGCGTTTGCAGCAGAAATCGGACAAGAAGTTAGTGCTCCAACGATCCGTAGACGGCTACAACAAGCCAATCTTCCGGGAAAAATAGCAAGAAAGGTTATGCGCCAAAAAAATATAGCCATGAGGCTAACTGTTGCTAAAATTCATAAAGACTGGGCAGGATGTGACGGAGAGAAAAAGTGAAGAAACATTTTGTGGAGCGACGAAACAAAAATAAATTTATTTGGGAATGGAATGTACGACGCCCTAAAGGAAAGGAATTTGATCCACGTTTCAGCAAAAAAAACTGTCAAACATGAAGGTGGCAATATAATGATATGGGGCTGCTTCTCCTGGTACGGCGTAGGTCCTCTTTTCCAGACAACGAACAAAATGAACGCTGAGGTATACAAATTCATATTGGAGAGTGCTATGTTACCTTATGCTGAAGAAAATATGCTTTGCGTTGGGTGTTTCAACAAGATAACGACCCAAAGCATACATCAAGGCTTTTGACCAACTTTTTTGAGGAACAAAAAATTGACGTTTTAAAGTGGCCAAGTCAATCTCCCGACTTAAATAACAGCGGCATTTTCTTTTCGAGTATACATGTTTTTTCTATTATTCTTCGTGATGTTTTGTCATGCATTTATTTCTTATCAGCTTTTCATCTCTAGTACCGTTAGCATTGAGAAGAATGAAAAATGAGAATTTCAACGAAAGTGGATATTTGTGCAAACTTACTCATTTACTTTTTGAGTGGGACACGCTAAGGATCTCGCGGAAAAAACCTATTAAGTAGCTTGTCTAATTTAGGGAAAACGTATTTACTGTGTAATCGTTGTGCACAGTTAAGATTTTAATTCAATTTAAATTACTATTCATTTAAAATGCCCCGCGGAAACGAACTTTCGAAGGAAGAGCAGGTTAAAATCAAAACGATGGCTGATTGTGGGGTCAAAGTTTGTGATATTGCTAAAACAATAAAGCGTCATCGAAGTACAGTAACAAACTTTTTAAAGTGTCCGCAAAAATATGCTCAAAACAACCGTTTGAAACTGGTAGAACAACATAAAGTAAATACTATATTCTATTAAAAATAAAAATAACGAGAAGGAATGTCTGAGTCGCTTCTGGGGACGCGACTCTACTTATACCCGTACTCAGTCAGTATATATATTTTTGAGATTATGATTTCTTAGAATTTAAGAATTTAAAAAAAAATTAATATTTTTTTGCTACATCTGTTATCCACATCTACAATGTATATTACATATTACATCTAATATTTAGGTACAGGTACCATTCAGATTCTACATCTTCTCCGCTAGAGGGCGCTCGCGCACTGAACGCGGAAGAGTGTACGAGCGAGAAATAGAATGAGCCGCGGGTCTCTGGATGAAGTAGGCGGGGGAAGAAACTGAAAATTAATTTCTTCATTCTGGCTATATTTATGATCCGATCTGATTTAGGTTCGGCAATCTGATAGACATATTCATTCTCTTCGATACTGCGTTTTTAGTTTTATCGTATCTTTAAAATTGTTTCTGCCACAGATTTTAGTCGTTTGTGGGGGCGGAAGAGAGCGGGGCGAAATTTTGAAATACACTTGTAGCAGTGTGATATCAGATGAGTCTGGAAACCAAATTTGGTTGCCCTAGCTCTTATAGTCTCTAGGCGCTCATCGAGACAGACAGACAGACAGGCGGACAGATAGACGTGGCTCTATCGACTCGTCTATTGATGCTGATCAAGAATATATATACTTTATGGAGTCGGAAACGTTTCCTTCTCTGCGTTACACACATCCACTTTTACCACAAATCTAATATACCCCTTAACTCTTTTTGAGTACGGGTATAAAATGCCAAAGTTGAAGAAACATGAAAACAGGTAAAAACTTCAACTTTGAGTCGCTATATCTTCAGATATACGAGGGCGGATCAATAAGTCCCTGACATTTTGAACTTCCCGCCACTTAATTGATATGGTAATAATTTGTCTGTCCAAAAGCAATTATTAG